AGCTCTCTCAAAAGTCAGTGTCTCTACCCGGCTTTCTAGCGGCAGTCCCGCTGGCCCTTTGACGCATTCTGGGAAGTCCGCGGCGTCCTTGGGTCCCCAGACCGTCTGTGTCCTGTCCTCGCATCATGCTTTCATTGCCCTCCAAATTCCAGCGATGCTCTCATCCACTGTGCCCACTGCTGAGGGCATCTCGGCCCCCCAGTGCAGACTCGGGCACAGACCTGGCGGGGGTGCCGTGGTCCCTGATGGAACTGCCTGTTCAGAACATGTCAAATGTTGACCCTTGTGTGTGGGAGGGGAGCCTGGGGGCTGTGGTCTGAGGCCTGCGTGCGAACCCTCGGGTCGCCTGCAGGAGAGCCCTGCGGCAGTCTGCGCTGGCAAAGGTGACAGCCCCGAGGACCCACTGGGACACTTGGGGTCCCTATAGGTCAGAATCAGCTGGACACGAATGGGTTTGGGTTTTTACCCACGTGTCTTTTGACGACCAGTAAGAAAAGAGGCTGCTTTCATCCCCGCTGGCTGCTCTGGGTCCATAAACCGCAGGTTGCATTTGCAGAGGCCCCAGTTGGGGGGCGCACACAGCCTGGGGGAGGCCCAGGGCCGGGCCTGGGAAGGGTTCTGGGAGGACGACGCTGTTGGACTTCTCACGTCACGTGTGACTGCGGTAGCAGCCCTGCCCCTGCCCCTCTGGCAAGTGGCCTTCTCCATCTTGAAGATTGTGGCCACGGGGGATTTGATCACGTTCCCTCCCTCTCCCCCTCCTCCACCAGCTGGACTGAAAGCCTCTGGGCAATGTGGGTGCCGCCTGCTCAGCAGAGGTGGTGGCCCTTCACCAGCAGGTGGGCATGCACGTGCAAGCTGAGAGCAGAGACAGCCCCTGAGACGTGTACTTGGGGGGTGGGGGAGCAGCGCTGCCTTTTAAACCAGGAGAGGTCCGTGTACACGAAGCCAGGTGTGACGCACAGAACAGGCATGGCCTGTGGCGGCAGGCGGTGGCTGGAGACGCAGGGCAGACTGGGAGCACCGTACAACCAGCCGGATGCACAGTGCGGTGGTTTCCCATCCGTGTGCTTGGCTGGCCCAGGTCTGCTTCGTGTGACAAAGACAGTGGGTGAGATCCTGGGGCCAGAGTTGGTCAGTGGTTGATCCTGATTCCCTGTCACTCGTGGGATTCAGACTGGAACGGCACTCCACCCAGCTCTGTGACCATGACCTTTCAGAAGTACACTGTTTCCAAGGCATCCGGCATGGTGGTGGGTGGGGGGTGGGGGGTGGAGGTAGGATACGAACCCTCAACTTTCTGCTTAACCGTCTGCACCACCAGGCACTCTGGACTTGACAATGCACACATGATTAAGTAGGTGGGTGTGCCACGAGTCTCACAGTCACAAGAGCATGTGTGTGTGTGCTTGAGACGTGTAGAACCCCCCACGCACACACGCGCACGCGCACACACACACAGTCTCTTCGCTTTGCATTTTCCAGAACACTGTTCCATTCCCTCTGTGCTTCTGTCCCCACCCCCCCAGGGCACTGGGCTCGGCACCTGGAGCACAGGCAGATAGAGGGAAGCTCATGGGGTCGCTGAGGAGAAAAGACCCCATGGTCTTGCACTAGGTCACAGAGTAGCCACTGGACCACCCTGGTTTGACCCTGCCTGTCAGCTCTCAAAAACTCCCACCAATCCAGTGAGTCTCAGGGAGTAAAAGCCAACCCAGCACAAGCTGCAGCCTGTCTCCCTGAGATGCCAACACCAGGGGACAGTCCACACTGGGGGACAGTCTATGCCGGGGGACGGTCTATGCCAGGCGCGGTCCACACCAGGGGTGGTCCATGCCAGGGGACAGTCCTCACCGCCGAGGCTGTTTCTCCCTGGCAGAGACTGACCACGTGGAGCGGGCTGGGAAGACATTGTCAGGCGCTCTGGGTGCTTGACTGAGCAGTGAGAGACTCCCTGGTTGGCAGGCACCGGCGCCTCGAGACGCATCCCTGACAGGCCTCTGCTCTCCCCTCTCTTCAGGCAGAGTACGAGGTGGCCATCGATGAAGACCAGCGAGACTGTGGACGGAGGGTGGTAGCCACGTTCTTGGACAAGGTGTGTGTCCCGGCAGACGTGCAGATGGACTCGTCCTGTTTGTCACGGTCTGTGATGTGGCACGCATGCTGAAGTGGGCGCATTCACCCCACAGGCCGGTCTCTTAGAAAACACACTCTATGGATTTAAATGTTTGCCTGTTTCTTCTTAACAGAATATAGAATTAGACTTTTGGACCAAAAAAAAAAAAATTAAGACCTTTCCCCCTAAACGCTATCAGTGGTCTTTGTTCTCCTGCTTCCTGACTCTCCAGGCGCCTGGAGCTCCGTCTCCGGTGCTTCCCCTCCCGGGACTTCCTGTTTGGGGGCCTGTGGGGTGAGAACACGCAGTAGCGACAGTGAGGCTCAGCGCATTGTGCACATATAGGACGACCCCCACTGCGCCCCCAGCCCACGGGCAGATACCTGTTTTATAAGACTGTAAGGCAGAGGGGCAAGGGCCCGCCCCAGGTACGCAGCTCGTCGGTGGGGGCCACAGTGAGCAGGTGCTGCAGCTTCCCTGGCTCCGCCCAGCCATCGATTAAAACTCCAAACCACCCCCTTCCAGTCCATTCTGCCGCAGAGCGACCACACTTACGGGACCAGACAGAAGCCCCCTACCCCCGTGGAGCTCTCGGGCCTGTCCACCTGGTGGGGGCAGAAGGCCTCATCTGTCTCCCGCAGGTCGGCTGGGGGCTCCAAGGGCCGACGTTTCAGTGAGCCGCTGAATGCTTCACCACCACGGGGCTCTGCTCGTCCAGCAGCTCTGTCGGGGACGCTCTGTGAGGGGAGAGAAGAGTAACGGTCTCGTTCCCATGGTATTTTTTGTCCTCTGCCCCCCGCCCCGGAGAAGTAACGTGTAGCCAGGGAGGTCTTCAAGCAGACAGAACACACTTGAGCAGCAGTCTCGGTGGGTGTAGAGGCCCAGGGCGAGGCGGCTCTGCATCTGAGGCTTGGTAATAGTGAGAGACGCGTATGGGCGAGTGGAAGGGGGTGAGATTTCAGAGCTTTTCCACCTCCTCTTATGCCAGCTGGGCCAGAGAGCGTGCCATGTCCTTCCTCTCCTCGAAGGGCTGCCCGGCCTGCGTGTGCCCCTAGACGAGGGCATTGTTAGCAGAATCACTGTAACTTTTCTCTCTGCTCTTCTTTAAAAATCAACAATAGTAACAACCGTTCTTTCCTCTGCATCCCCAGCAAGGGAGCTCTGCAAGGTCACGCACCTACACGCCTAAGAGTAAGGCACCATCCATCCATCCATCTATCCACCCGTCCGTCCATCCATCCATCCATCCGTCTGTCCATCCATCCATCCATCCACCTGTCTGTCCATACATCCATCCACCCGTCCGTCCATCCATCCATCCACCCGTCCGTCCATCTACCCATCCATCCATCCATCCATCCATCCATCCATCCATCCATCCATCCATCCGGTTCATGTACTTTGTGTGTCTATAGCACTAGGTTCCTGGGTCTCACGAAGCGTCCGTGTACGCCGTGCGGAGTGCCACTAGAAGGGGATGGAAATGGGGCCAGGATGGGGAATAAGAGAGAGACCTGGGTAAGGTGGTCAAGAAGGTAGCGTTTTAGAGAGATGGAGGAGGAGGGGGAGCTTGGTCTTTTGCAGTGCCAAGCATAGCATTCTGGGAAAGGGGTGGGAGTGGGGAGTCGGCGAGGAGCATGGGCAAAGACTATGGGGCAGAAAAGAACTTTGTGTGTTGGAGAACCTTTCACTAAAGCTGGAGCCTACCGGACAAAGGAGAGACTTGTAAGTGGTCAAGCAGGTTAAGTTCAGGCAGGACCATTGGCTCAGTGGGAGGTAAGTGGGGAGAAATGTGAAAAGTGAGCCTATCAGAGGATAATGACTCACTATACACCATGAAAGGAAGTGATCCTACCCACAAAGCATCACAAGGAATAGCACACTTAAGGACAAGTTCAACAATGGATGAGCACTACTGGTATTCGGAAAGCAGGCAAACCGGCATCATAAGGACCTAAAGACCTTCATACTTGGAAAGGCATCCCGTGTTCACGGATTGGCAATACTCCTCAAGTTAATCTGCAGTTTAAAGCAACCCCTATCAAAATCCCAGCTGCCCAGAATGGCTACAAACGACTAAGCTGATGATGAAATTCGTGTGGAAATATGAGACCCAGAATTGCCTGTCACAATGCTCTAGAAAAAGAAAGTGGAAGGACTTCTTTTCCTGATTCCAAAGCATCCCCTCGTTGTCCGGACAATATAGCAGTGACACGAGGATATGATACATGCCGCTCACCTGTCAGCCGGCCAAGAGAAGCCGGCCGTTCCCTGGTGTTGGCCCACACCTGCACAGCCGCCGGGTCTTTCTGCCCCACCTATGTGAGGACCAGACCCCAGCGTGCATGCGCACGTCTAAGGGTCTTTCTGAGTTGGAACCAGAGGCTCCCAATCTGATTCTGCCTACTGCCCCTTTTCAGGGAAACAAAAATGAGCATCCACCCCTGGCAATGAAAGACTTTGATCCTCTAGGCTACAATCCAGGATAAAGTACAGGCATGAACTTCTAGAATCCTCCATCCCTGGGTTGTCCCAGAGCTCCCCAGCAGGCCGTAACACCCACCTTGGGAAACACTGGTGTAGACTGAGGTCTACAGAGACAGACCGCCACCCGTGGACGGGGAGCGTGCAGGCAGCTCTCCCACCCGCCTCCCTGGCTGTGCCTCGTGCTCCGTGTCTGGTTGGGTCTCCGCAGCGAGTGTAGGGCGGGTAGCGACTGGCGGGTGACGGCAGTGCTGATGGTCGTGCGTTTTGTTTGTGCTGGAGGAAGACGACAACTGGCCACTTGCCCGAGATACCCCAGGACGTTGTGAGCAGATGTACAGAGATGCTGGAAGTGGATCCGTCCAAAGAGACCTTCCAGGAGTGCACGCGGTGAGCTGTGTGTGGTCAGCCTGCACCCGGGCTGCGGCCACGCTGGGGACAGAGGGCTGGCAGGCGGTCATTGGCATAAAGACCGTGGCCTTCACGAGACAGAGGCAAGTAGTGGGGGTAGGGGGGTCGCAAGAACAGTGTCCCTGACACGCCCCACCCCCAAGGTGGTGCTGCCTTATACATAGTGCCCTCACAGGACAGGGCAGAACTGCCCCTGGGGGTTCCAAGAAAGCAGCCTGATGGGAGTAGAAAGCCTCGTCTTTCTCCCACAGAGCGGGAGATGGTTTCAAACCGCACACCTGGCGGTGGTCACGGGGCCACTAGGGCCCCATGACCTGGGTTTAGCAGAGGACTCATGGAGAATGTCTTTCCTGGGCAGGAGCACTCGGAGCTGGGTAAGAGCATGTTCCCTACATTCCTTAGCTCCCTGTGGATGTGGAGGGACAGGGGGCTTCTGAGGTGACCTAGGCCCACAAAGTGTCCTCCTTGGCAGGTGCAAGCTGACCTTGGGGTGTCACACCTCCCCCAGCCCTGCAGGTGCTGGCTTCCCTGTGCACCTCCCCGGCCAGGGCCTCCTCTCGTCTGCAGTCACAGCAGAGACCATACAGGCCACAACAGGCCACCCCTGCTGGCCCGAGGCCACACTCTTCCAGGCCTCAGGGGAATAGAAACGTGCCTGCTGTCCTGGAGCTGGCTGGGGCTCGGGGACTCCATGCGCTGCTCCCTGAGGTCTTTCCAGGAGGAGCTGCCCACTGAAAGGTCAGCGGTTTGAACACGTGGGAGAAATATGAGGCTATCTTCTTCTGTGCAGATGGACAGCCTCGAACACTCCGAGGGCAGTTCCCCCTGTCCTGCAGGGTCGCGGTGAGTCCGCATGGTCTTGGCCGCAGGGGTTCAGCCTCCTGGACTCACTTGTCCAGAAGCAGACCTTTGCCCCACACCAACCCGTACCTGCATTTCTCTGATCCCAAACCCAGCCCAACCCACTGCTGCTACGTGACGTGACCCGCTAGTGGGACAGGCAGAACTGCCCCTGTGCTTTCCAGGCTGCTGTCTGTCCAGCTGCCCCGTTCTCCTGCCAGTGGGTGGTAAGGTCCAACCATCATCGTTCTGTTAGCGGGAGAACGATTTAACCGCCACACCCCTAGGCCCTCTTGTCCATGGCTAAAAACAGGAAGCCAGACTCATTACCGTGAAGTCCATTCTGACTGAGCACCGCTAGGGCGGGGCAGATTGCTCGCTGGGGGCTCCGCGGCCACACGTACACCCAGGAGCAGCCGGCCACGGCTTTCTCCCTGCGGGCCTGGTGGGTCTTAAGCTCTCCTGCTGGCCCGTCCACATGTGCAGAGAGCCCATAACTGGCCCCGTGGAACGAATGCCCTGGGAAGCCGCCCTGCTCGCCCTGGAAACGAGCGTGAAGCTGGTGTTGCGGCGCTGTCAGTGGCCTTCAGTCAGTTCCCTCTGACACGTTTCCCCTTGCAGCGGAATGCACGTGTCATCGCCTCCCATCTGTTTTCCCTAGAACCGTTCATAATTATTTAAGTGGAGAGCCATTTGCAGAATACCAAGAAAGCCCCTATTTTTGTCGTTTTTTGCAGTGGAAATGGCGTGAAAGGTAAGGTGGAATTTAAAATCCGCTGCAACAAGTGATGCCTTCTCGTCGTGCACGCTGACTGCTTTATACCCCACCTGTCAGACGTGCTACAGAAGGTTACGGGGGTGGGGGGTAGGGCAGTCACTGCAAGGCTGGCAGTTCAAAACCACCCGTGAGGAGGCGCTGTGGGAACAAACCAGCCACAATCCCAGGCACTACTGAGTGTGGCGTGTCCTAACTCGAGTGGCTCCTTAGCCAGGGACAACCTGTGTAACTGACCCCTATCTCTCGGGGGCCCCACCCTTCCCCTCTCTAAGTGGCCCTGATGAGTCAGGGACTTTCATCCCCAGGAGTGCCCGCGGCCCTGCGGGAGGCTATGCAACCTCAGCCCCAGTTTACTGCTGATGTCCGCCGCCTTGTGGCCCCAGGCAGCGTCCTCACGTTTCTGAGCCAGAGCTCCCCGGGCTGTGAAACAGGCCCAGCCCGCCCCACAGTTGGGCGTTGAGCTCCGACTCCCCAGGCTTCACCAATGGCGACTGTTGGCCAGACGCTTCTGCGGTCCCCGCTGGTGGACACACGTTCTGTACGTCTAGGGTGCTTTTCACGACAGGGCACGTGCATGGGAGCGGTGTTTTCGCTTCCAGATCGGAAATGTCTCACAGAAAAGCGTGAGGTGTCTGCATCTGCTGGAGCCATGGGGCAGACTGAGCAACCCCACCTGCTCCTGCCACGCTGCGCTCTTCCTTAGCTCCCCGCATGCCTGGGTCCCGTGGCGTCACTGCAGGTTCACTGCGTTGCCCGGACACAGGGAGAAGTACATGAGATTCGCAAGAGATCACTTGCGTTGTCACGTGCAGTTCATCCAGAACCTCCCTGCTCAAAATCTGTGTGTGGATGAACTTGGGCACTTCAGACCCACGGGATTCGAAGCTCTCCTGTACCCGCAGACCCTGCCCACCACCTGGACGTGTGTGTGCCGTGCTTCCCACAGTGCCTGGAGCGCAGGCTGGGGGCTCAGAGCTGATAGCTGACGCTGGGCCCATCTGCACACAGTGACTGCCCTTGTGGCGATTGTTAGGGATGAGCGAGTTGTCGTTTAAAGTTCACATGGAGGTTTTGAGACTTTGGGATCAGTTAGGGGGAGGCATCTTGAAGCTCCCTTTCCCCCAGGGCAGTGTGCTATGCATGTGTTTGCCGTCTTCCTCCCTGGCCTTCGACGCTGAAAGAGGGAGAGCCTGCCCGCCCCCCCCCCCCCCCACACACACCATGCTCCTCCCTGCGGCCGGGTGGAGAGCTGCATGAGGTTCTTAAAGAAGAGCTCCTTAAGACTGAACCGTGTGCATCTAGCCCCGGTGTCGTCAGCTGACGGTCACACCCGGTCTACGCTGTCTGGGATGCACAGAGAGCTGCTTCACCAGCGGGCAGCCGCCTGCCCTGCTGCTGGGCTTGCCCGTCACCCGGTGGGGGCATGCTGGAGGCCCAGACCAGAGCCAGGCGTGTGTGTGTCAGCCTCGCAGTGCCTGCACGAGAGCTGAAGCTTTCCTGTTCTCCCTTTCCTGCTAGGCAGCCGGTAACGAAGAACACATTCAGACACTACAGGGTCCTAGGCAAAGGCGGGTTTGGAGAGGTGAGTAGTGCTGGGCAGGCCTTACAGGACGTCCGCTTTGGCTGAGTAGCAACTTGGCCGACAGCTTCCCTTCCCAGTCTTAGTCGGTCCTGAGGGTGAAGACGGAGTGCCGAGGAAAGAAGCCCTTGGCTACAGACTGCCGGCCCGTCCTTGTTTGTGCTCTAAGCCTCTGCTGTGCCCCCGTCAGCAGCCCTGGGCCCTGTGCAGTGCCGAGTCCGAGCGGTGACACTTCCTCCTGACTCACAGTGGGGAATTGCCACTGTCCGCGTCCCACATCTGGATGAACTTGGAGGACCAGCCTGGAATTTTATGTTTGCCGAGCATAGTCTTACATCTGCTGACTGAACAGAGCGCTGATAAGCGGGGAGAGGGTGTGTGCACACAGGCGGGCTTCAGAAATAAGGGTCCATCCCATTATCTTGTCATTCCCCTTTCCATGAGCGTGTTAGCGCTCCGTGGTTGTGTGCGCTTGTATGTGTGCACATGTATGTATATATGTAAATACAGTGAACCCTCGTTTATCGCGGTTAATCGGTTCTAGACCCTACCGTGATAAATGAAATTCCGCGAAGTAGGATTCCTTA